GCGAGATGGCGTTCGCTACCACCTTGTAGTCCATGCAGAGAAGGGACATGGGACGCCAATTCCTTAGGTTGCGGGGATCTCCCTTCTTTGGCAGGAGGGTCAGCACAGCCCTCTGGCATGACAGGGGGAGCTCCCCACTTCCCTCAGATTCAGCCCAGACCACAGCAAGGTCCGGGCCAAGAATGTTCCAGAAAGCCCAGTAGAACTCTGAGGTCAGCCCGTCAATGCCCGGAGCCTTGTTGCCAGGCATCCAGTGGAAGGTGGCCGAAAACTCAGCCAGAGTGAGAGGGGCTTCTAGTCAGTCCTGCTCACCCACACTGACCTGCAGGAGTCCCTCCCACAGGGTCTGACAGGCTTCAGCATCAGTTGGATCCAGCTAGAAGGCCCGCGCACTGGTGCATTTCACCTGGATCTGTGAGGGGGGTGCTGTCACCCATCAGAAGGCAGGTGATGTACTTCATGGCTCCCCCACCTCCTCTCCAGGGCATAGAAGCTGGAGCTGCAGCCCATTTCCTGAAAGAGCTCGATGCGCGAGCGGACAAGTGCACTGCGGGCGTGGTGGTCATCCAGAGTACAAAGCTTTTCCCACCTCTCCCAATACTCTCTGCAGAAGGATGGGTTGGTTGAGTCAGTGGCCAGGAACCTCTCTAGCTCTAGCACTTCCTGCTCAAGCTGCTCCCGGCCCGTCTCCCTCTGCCGGGTGTGCCCCCCCAGTGTAGCCGTGGCAAAAAAGCCGGATGCACACCTTCTTCACATCCCACCATCTCTGAGCTGAGGGGAAAGCTTCCCATTTCTCCTGCCAGGCCAGCCAGAACTCCCAAAAAGCCTCCCTGAAGCCCAAATCTTCCAGCAGGCTGGCATTGAAATGCCAGTAGGCCAACCCCCAGATGCCCCTGGGCCCAGACAAGGTGGTGATCGCTGAAAGGGGTTGGCCAGATGTCAAAGGAGTGGGCCCGGGCAAAGTGCAGCAAAGAGGTATAAACCTGGTCAAACTGGGAGTGGCATGCCTGCTCCTCCCCCACTCTCATGTAAGTGAAGGCAGGGGGTTCAATGCAGTGACAGGCATGCCAGATGTCCACCAGGGAGTAGTCTATCAGGATCTCTCCAAGGATGCCCATGGCGGCCTGGCTCTGCTCCTTGCCTGACCAGTCTCACACATCTAGAGTGATGTTAAAGTCTCTGCCAAGGACCAGGAACTCACAAGGGTTGAGGGTGCTGATGTATGTGGCCACCTCATGGAAGAAATCTGCCAACTCTGGCTCCTTTGCAGGGGCTTACATGTTCAGAAGGTTCAGGACCAGCCCCTGCACCTAGACCCAGCGGTGCAGCAGGTAGCCCAGCACCACCTCAATGTCCTGGAGAACAATGTCCAGCTGCAGGCCCAGGGAGAACAGGGTGGTCACCCCAGATGAGGTGACTAAAAAAGGCCCTGCCTCCCTACTCCAGAAGCCAATTTGGTTCATTGGCTAGAGTCGTCAGGGCCACCTGCAAGAATACCTTGGGGTACCCCCCCTCCTGAAGGAAGAAGAGCACACGGCACCTACAGAGACCCTTTTTGCAGCCATGAACATTAAGGGTCGCAATCTTAAACAATCTCATGGCGGGGGGAGGGGTGGAATAAATGGCTTAGCAGGGGCCTCACACATCTCAATGCCCGGTGTGGGTCCCACCAGTTCTCGTAGTGCCCTCCCATAAGCATAGAGGTCATCTATGAAACTGTGGGCCCATCTATAGATCCAGGGGTTGCAGCTTTTGGGCCCCTTGCCTTCCCCTGCCAGTGCCCTCGCAGTGGCAAGGACACTTGTCAAAATCTCCCCAGCGGTGCAAAGCTAACTGAACCTCCTGGTAGACCGGTGGGTGTAGTCATGGTCAAGAAATGCAAGTAGCTCATTCCTGGGGACTGCTGGAACCAAGAGATCTGCAGGCTCCATGAAGCCTGATGGTTCTCAGGCATCCTCTTCCTGGTCCTGGAGCTCAGGGGTCTCTTCCAGCACCATCTGAACCTCCCAGTCTGCTAGGACCCCGGACTCTGGTTGGGATTGGGAGAGCTCTGTAGGTCCCTAGAACAGGGCTGGGCGTAGGGGTGGGGGTGGGGCTCCTTCACAAAATGGTGGGGTAGAGCTAGAGCCCTGGGGGGTCTGTGCAAGGTCCCCAATGAGATCAGCCCCTTGATTAGGGGACCCCACCATGACCCCCTCTGGTGTAGGGGTATGGAGCAGGCTGCAGGTGAGGTTTTCCTGGGAGGGGGAGGGAAGAGACTCACCAGGCACCAGGGTGGCTCTGACATCTGCCTCGGGGTACTGGAAAAGGGGACCTCCTCCCTCAGAACTCACTGGGGTAAGCCCCAGGGTCTCTGTGTCTCCTAGATCAGAGGGAGGCAGTTCTGCCACCAGGCCTTCCTTTGGGCAGGCCTCAGCCTTGGCACCCGTGGTTTCAGGTGGTAGGCCTTGGTCAGCAGGATGAAGGGCTTCCCCCATGGGCTCCTGCTTGGGACTATCTAGCAGTTCTGAAACCTCTTCTGTGGGGATCACCTATTTGATCTATCCTGGGGGTGGGGTAGTAGGCACAGCTGGGAAGGCCCATGGAGCCTGGGCCGCTCCTCCCCCCCATGTGGTGGCCTTGGGAGGGAGAAAGGAGTCCTCCACATCAGAGGACTCCAGCTGTGCCCAGGCCTTCCTCTTGACTTTACACCCGGAGGGGACCTGCACCCACTCAGCCATGGGGTGGTCCTCAGGTGGACAGGCTCCAGCAAGAGAGCGCGAGGGTTAGAATTTTTTTAAAGCCATGACAAGGGTATGACTAGGGGCAGGGGGGCCCTGCTTCCTCTCTCCCCCTGGTTGCTGATACCCTCCCTGGGACTCCACTAGACTTGACTGGGGGACAGGGTCCCTTGAGCTCACCAGTGGGCTCGTACTTGTGTCTGGGGTGCCAGGGCGGCCTGAGGGGGTTGAGACACCAGTGGTAGGGGCTGCCCTCTTTCCAGTGGGACCCGTAGGTGCCCTCCCCACCTGGCCCATGGGGCACTCATGATGCAAGTGCCCCAGGGCATGGCTCCAGAAGCAGCAAAGGTCCCCTGCTGTATCAAAAATCCTTATGGGGGCCCCCTGATAAATAATTACCAGGCACCCCTCAGCCTCCAGCTGCACTCCCACTGCCAGCTGAATCATGACCTGGCAACGGAAGGAGTGCATGTGGCAAAGGCCAGGATCTGTGAGAGAGCCACCACTGGGGAAGAGAACTCTCCCCAGGGTTTGGAGCTCGGAGAGCAGGGCCTAATTGGGAATATAGGGAGGGATGGAACCGAGTACCACCCTGGTCCCCAGCTGTTCTAGAGGCATGAGGGGGACGTACTTGCCTTCCACCATGAGCCCCCTCTCCACTGGCTTTTTGTGCAGAGGCCTCCAAGGCAAGGAAAAAGACCCCCTTGCCATTAAAGCAGGAGACTGTCATGAGCTTGGGGGTCCCAACTACTCAAGCCAGGGCCTGCACCCAGGTCTCAAAGCGCAGGTTCTCCTGCTTGGGCAGTTGGCACTTCACTGCATGCCTGCGGGTGAGTGCCGGAAAGAGGGCCATGCTGCCCGAGCTGGAAGGGCCAGTGGTGGAGGGTCCAGGCTGCCCGGCTTTGGGTCTCCCTGCAGCTCCCTGTGCATAGCTGTGGTTCCCCCCGGGGACCGTGTTGGTGGGGTCTGAGCTAGCGCCAGGGACAGGTTGAGTGGGTGTGGTGGCTGGTGTAGTGCATCTGGTCCCCTCAGGCACTGGTGGTCTAGGCTTTGGGGCAGGGCCCTTGCCCTTCCCACCCCCAGCTGTGGAGGAAGTTGAGGAGAAGCCCTTCCCACTGCCCTTGCCCTTGGTCCCCGATGATGGGAGAGGGGGGAGGCCTGGCCAAGGGTGACTCCCTGTTCCTGTTGGCTCCTGCCAGAGTCCCACCTGCCCCTGCAGTGGAGGTTGCAGGCTTCTTCACCCCTGGGAGGAGGTTGATTGGACTCTGCCTCTGGAGTGGAGGCTGCAGGGGCATGCATCCCCTTGGGGGCTTGGCTGGGATCCATGCCCATAGTGGGGGCTGCAGGAAGCTCTGTGGGGGCATCTGCCCCCCCAGAAGCTTCCTGCCCTGCCATTGTTTCCCATGAGGGCAGGGAAGACATTAAAGTAAAACAATATCCCGCGGGACTGGTGAATCTAGTAGGGGTAGGCTGGGGTTGTGGGGGAGAAGGGGGATAGGGAGGAAGGGGGTTGAAGCTCACTGAGCCACGGTCCCACAGGAAAAAAAAAAACCATGAGGCCTATGCTTTGATAATGTGGGGGGGAGGGGAAACAAAAAATACACACACAAGGGCTGGGGAAACTCAAGCTGGCTTACTCAGCCACACAACAAACATCAGGTCGGGGGAGTGGGTGACAGGACTTACCACACAAGGGCATAAAACACACGGGGAAGGCTACTGATTCAGGTGTAAAAGATGGCTGGAGCAGTGGAGGGGCTTTTTTTGTGGAAGATCTGTCCAGAAGCGCCTCAGGCCTCCAGCCAGTCACTCAGCAGCAGAGCAGTCAGCAGGAAGACAAAGCAGGATCAGATGCAGTGAGGTAGCTGTGGGGGAGGGTAGGAGCAGTCAGTCAATTAGGAAGTGATCCAGTGCAGGTGTGGTGTCAGGTGGTGCAGCAGAGAATCTGTCTCCTGAGAGGGGGCAGCAGCAGAAACAACAGTGGCAGCAGCAAGAGCAGCAGTGATGGTAGGCGCTGTCCAGTTCAGCCACTCAGGGTGTGCTTCTGGTGAAAGTGGAGGTGAAGGTGGGGGTAGCCTGCCAAGGTAGGTGAGGCAGGCAAGGTTCCTTTAGACTGTGACAGTGATGATGGGGGAGGGGTCCACAGGCAGCACAGGCTCTCTCCCCAGGCTGTCCCCCGACTGCGGTTTGGTGGTGGGCTGGGCAGCAGACTGGAACAGGGGTGCGGAAGCTCGGGTGTGGTGCTGGGGTGTGGTGCAGTGCAGTGCGCCCTTCCCTGAGGCGGGTAGCAGTGTGCAGCAGAGGACCCTCCCAGGGGGGCAGGAACAGCAGCAGCTGCCCAAGGCAGGAAGGGGTGTGGCCAACTTACTCCAAAAGCTCTGAGACCAAGCCAGCAGTTAATAGTAGCCAGAGGCAGGAAAGGATCTGGCTATTTTTTCCCCAGAAGCTTCTGAGACCAAGTTTGCAGCAACCAGCCACAGCAGCAGCAGCCTGGGACAGGAAGCGGCATGTCCAACTTCCTCCCAGAGGCTCCTCTCCCAGAGGCTCCTGAGAGCAAGTAGCCCCAAGTTGCTTGCCAGGGCAGCTTTTTGTACTGCTGGGGACAGCACAGGTGCTGGCCCCAGGCTCTAGCTCCCCTGGCTGCAGATCCAGGAGGAGCCAGGCAGTGTTATTTTGCCCAAGTGGCACAATTTTCTCCACAACAAAGTACACGTCTGAGCACATGCGCTGAGGCAAAAAGCCCCAGCTCAAATTTGCACTGTTTCTATTTGAGCTGCTGCAAACTCACATGCTTGCATGTGTGGACATGCCCATATAGTGTATTCTGGGCTAAGGGCATGAACAGATGAACCATTTACATAGCCATAAAAGGGAGAAGGACTTATCGTGGTACAAATCCTGTGTAACAATTTTCTTTGACCACCCGTATCACACTTCAGTGAAGCGCAACCACAGTAATTTCCCATCTGTGCCATTTGGGGTAAATGACTATAGCACAGCTACACATACTACAGGTTAGGCAAGTATAGACAAAACAATTATATTAGGTCAGCTCCCAAGCAATCCCCTTTCCCTTTCCACTGGAGTAACTGTACATCTATCCATGTCTTAAGACAGCCAAAATTACTTACCTGAAATCTTCTGAAGATCTAGCAAATGGAGAGTATTGCTCTAGTTCAATCCACTAATGGCTTATTTAGGCTACACCAATAAGTGTGCTTCTAACTCAACATAACCAAGGACTGAGCATCAGGGAACATAAGCCTTTTATGTGCAGTTTTTAAGAAACTCACAGATGGTGCTGTAAGCCAGAAAATAACAATGGGAAAATTTCACAGATTTCATAGACAATAGGGCTGAAAGGGACCTCAGAAGATCATCGAGTCTAGCCACGTGCCCGAAGGGCAGGAAGTCAGCTGCGGTCATAGGATCCCAGCAAGATAAGCATCCAATTTACTCTTGAAGGTATTCAATGTAGGTGCTTGAACCACCTCCGATGGCAGGCTATTCCAGATCCAGACCTGGGAGGGTGGGACAGTAAAGAAATTCTTTCTTATGTCCAGCCTGAAACAGTCTTGCAGTAGTTTATGACCGTTTGACCTCGTCATCCCTTGGGGCGCTCTGGTGAGCAAACATTCCCCCAGATACTGGTGGTCACCCCTGATAAACTTATAGGTGGCTTAAATAAGCAATTTATTTTAAAAGGCGAGGGAACTGTAAAGGATGGATTTTCAGAAGCAATGATCCGTTTTCTCTAATGCACTTCTTCCTCTGTTATGCACTGCATAAATTCCAGAAGCCTGCAGATATCAGAATTATAAAACTTTACAGTATAACGCAAGCACAAAGATAATGGTATAGACTTCGCTCAAGGCAAGGGATGATAAATGGCCTTAGTGAAGCACTTCTTTGTTGCAGAATATTCCCCCCCCACACAAAAAAAAGAAAAGAAAATACTACAGAGATTAAAATTCTGAAAGAAACAGAGCTTGGCAAAAAGAAGCTTAATGAGCTACCTAGCTTCAGGCAGCCTTTGTATCTATGATTAATTTAATGTTTCCCCTTAAATTTATTTTAGAAGAAAAAAAAGGAGGGGGGGGGAATGACTAACCAAGTTTTATAAAAGTGAACTTCAGAGCTTTAAAAACAAAACTGTTTCAGTTCCCAGAACACACATAGAATGTGCATGTAGGGGTGAGTAATTAGCATAGACTCTAAGACTTAAGCTTCAGATTTTCAAAGTGATTAGTAATTTTGGGTAGCCAAACAAATATCTCACAGGAGACTGATTTTTAAAGTGCTAGCATTCAGCATTCATGGAAAATCGGGCCACTTTAAAGAGTCACAAGTTGCCACCACAGATTCAGTTTCCACTTTGGAAAATCTTGTGCAGAACCCTGAAAAAAAACACTTCCACCTTTGGCTAATTGTTAAGCCCTGCTTTTAGGATTCTACAGTTCCCTTTGCTACAAAGAGTACCTAAAGCAGCATGGCAATGCTCTATGTCAGGATGGATGTATAAGAACATCAGCTTTTCCAAAGGGAAACAAGGGAGGCAGAACTGAGTGTTTGACAGGTGAATGGAGAAAGAATTAATTTTCAATTTGCAATGAGGAAATCAATTTCCTCTACATAAGTGGAAACCTCAGTTAAAAATCGTATATATTACAAGCACCCAATCCTAAACCAAGTTAAATATTTATTTATTTGTTTGACCCTGGTTATGGACCAGAACTTTATTATACTAGATACTGCACAAACATAGGACACAGTCATTAAAATGCTAGTGCACTGTCTACATTTGAGTTCCTGCCATTGTTTCTACTGGTGAAATGGAACAGCAGTAGCAACTCCGGGAAATTTGATGGGAAAAAGGCTAAGTCTGACCTAAACATAGATGGGCTTTGATGCTATGTGTAATTCCCAATGCTTTCATTGGGAGCTACATTCTCAGAAACAGAGAAGCAGATGGCCCAGATAAACTGTCTACTACAGAGAAGATACGATACCTGTGCACTTCACAAGCAGTTACCAAATTGTCTTCAGTAACTTTGATTTTAAATGAAGTTTTGTAATTTAACTTTGTATCCCTCCCTCTAGAAAAGACCCCAAACTGCTCAAGTCACCATTTGCTACATTTTTTTAGTTATTTGAAAGAGATTCTACCTGATCTTTTGTGCACTACTGAGTGTTTGTCAACAGTTCCTCAATTCTGCCTTTCAGAGTCTCTGCAGAGCTGTGGCTGGACATAGACAAAGCATTTCCTCTAGGCCCCATTCACAGCATATGGTATAAATGTTCCTACAATAATGGCAGTGGGCTTAGTGGTAGACTGGAAATCAAGAGATTTGCTGAATGACCTTGGTAAGTGCCTCTCTGTGCCTCAGTTTCTTCCCCTATAAAATGTGACAAATGTTGCTTATCTATTTTGTGAAGGACTGAGAAATACGGCTGTGCAAAATTTTGCCAGGCATTTCATTTCAAAGTTGTTTCGATGTGCTTTGAGCTCAAAACAGTGAAATTAAAATGAAACAAAAGCTTTCAAAACAACTTTGAAACAAAACAAGGGCACTCGAAACATTTTGAAAGTTTTGAAATGTTTCGAGTTTTAAAGCTGGGCTTTGGCTTCAGCGCCAGTCCCAGCCAGCAGCAGCAGCCTCCGGTCATCCAGCGCAGATCCAGGGGCTGTGCCCCACAGGAGGATTCTGGCACCTCCCCCAGCCCTCCCGGGGGGTCTGGGCCCCCAGATATGCATACCAGATGACAGCATGCTATTGCTACTGGCTGGGTCCAGCAGGAGCACCAATCTTCCTAGCACTGGGTGTGGGCTGCATCCAGCACCAGTCCCAGCCAGCAGCAGCAGCAGCCTCCTATGATCTGGCAGGCAGATCGAGGGGCCCCTGCACTCCCAGGAGGGCTGCGGGGCTCTGCCTGACTCCTCCCAGGGGTGCAGACTCCCGATCTGCCTGCTGGATCACAGCAGGATGACAAAACAAAACTTAAAATAAAACACTGTTCCACTGAAACAGAAGTTGAAGCAGAATGATGCTATTTCACACAGCCCTACTGAGAAATACACATGGAAACCACTGTATGAAAACAGGTATTGTTTTCAAAATGATTTTTCATTCTGCATGTAGTCTGATACTTTAATCTCAACAGTTTATTCTTTTTTAGTTTGGTTTACACTGCTACCAGCTTCCAGGGTTGGGCAATAGAAGTTGCATACTTTCTCCTTCTCCAGAGTTCCAATGATCACGTTATTAGACATCTGATTCCAAGCATGCTGTAATCTTAATAAATCATGCAGACTGTATCAGGGAGGTGCCTATGTTCACAGCATGCAGGGGAATGGGTTTGTTTAATCGGCTTTTTTATTTCTAACCAGTGTGATCAGAGAGCAATTCTGCATTATAAACAAAATAGCTCCAAAATGCCATATTGCTGCTTTTTTTATCTTTTTTAAAAAGTCACTTCTTATTTTATGGCTACTCCAAATGTTCTTTCTTAGATTTAAAGAGGACAAGCTGGTTACATTTTTCTTTATTTTTTGCCAGGAGCTTTATGCATCATGTTTGATGTTTCAGCATAGAGCCTACTATCTAATTCTACAAAGTACAGTTGATCTATTTTGATTTTGTTGAGCAATAGCTCACAAAAATAATAACTGTGATCCTGACTCTAGCAATTGGACAAGACTAGAGAGTCTGACATACTCAGGCATTTACCTTTATCATTAATCCTGCTTGTTGCAGTTATACAGATGGTAACTCAGCCTAGACAGATCATGTTCCGTCTGCATTTTATGTAAACATTTTTTCCTTTTTTCTTGGCACAGTTAATGGATTTCCTCTTGCTCTGCAGAGAGTAAATTATGTTGAAAATTAGAGCTGGGAAAATAAAGCAGTCATCCTCTGTTGTCTACTGAGTGGCTAATACAAAGGATCCTTTGCTATAACAGGTGGCACTAGTTTGCACCATTTTGGCAATCTCAGCAGAGATATCAGAACTAAGTAGGCCTGGAAACTATTTACTTGCTCACCTCTGGAAAGGATCTTGCTTTGCAGGGCAAGCTTAAGGTATATAGGTGGCAGTGCAGTGAAGTTTGCACTACTTCCTGTTCTGCCTCAGGTATGTAGCTAAGCAGATTGTTTGAAGCTCTGGCACTGTCAGATTAACCATCTTTCCCAAGAACAACTATTCTAAAGGCTTTTCCCCCAATTTTCCATGAAAGCCCATTTCATGCAGCATCTATCTCCCTGCTAAAGAATTGTATTGTTTTTCATAGATTCATAGATGCTAGGGCCCAAAGGGACCTCAACAGATTATTGAGCCCAACCCCTTGCCTAGGCAGGAAAGAGTGCTGGGGTAAGATGACCCTAGCCAGATGCCTATCCAGCCTTCTCTTAAAGACCCCCAAGGTAGGGGAGAGTACCACCTCCCTTGGAAGCCCATTCCAAATGTTGGCCACCCTTACTGTGAAGCAGTTTTTCCTGATATCTAGCCTAAATCTGCTTTCTGTCCGTTTGTGACCATTGTTTCTTGTTACCCCAAGAGGTGCCCTGATCAACAGAGCATCTCTAATCCCTTGCTGCGTTCCCCTAATGAAATTGTATGCAGCCACAAGATCACCTCTCAGTCTTCTCTTGCAGAGGCTGAAGAGGTCCAGGTCCCTCAGTCTCTTCTCATAGGGCTTGTCCTGTAAGCCCCTAACCACACAAGTGGCCCTCCTCTGGATCCTTGAGTCTATAAACATCCTTCTTGAAGTACAGCACCCAAAACCGAACGCAGTACTCCAACAGCAGTCTAACTAATGCCATGTAGAGGGGAAGTATCCTCTCCTTGGTTCTATTTGTCATGCATCTGCTGATGTATGAGATAGTGTGGTTAGCTTTGCTGATGATTTCGTCACACCGACAACTCATATTCACTTTGGCGTCCACTGTGACTCCGAAATCTCTTTCTGCTTCTGTGCTGCTGAGAGGGTCACTTCCTAGCCAGTAGGTGTGCTGGATATTTTTGTGCCCTAGGTGCAGCAGTCTGCATTTGTCCTTGTTGAACTGCATCCTATTGTAACCCATCTTTTCTAGCCCGTCCAGGTCTGCCCGCAATCGTTCCCTGCCCTCTGGAGTGTTCACTTCACCCCACAATTTAGTATCATCTGCAAACTTGGACAGAGTATATTTCACACCCATATCCAAGTTACTGATGAAGATATTGAAAAGTACAGGTCCAAGGACCAAACCCTGTGGGACCCCACTACGCACATCCTTCCAGGTCGATACCGACCCATCTACTACCATAGTTTGGGTGTGACCACTAAGACAACTTGCCACCCACCAGACTGTGTAAACATCTATGTCACAACCTCTTAATTTATTTATGAGAATGGGATGAGATACTGTATCAATGGCCTTGCCTAAATCCAAGAAAATGACATCCACCTCTACTCCTGTGTCTAAGTGTTTTATGACCCTGTCATAAAATGAAACCAGATTGGTCAGGCATGATCTGCCTGCTGTGAATCCATGCTGGTTTCCCTGCTGCATTATTTTTTCTGCTGGACTCCCACAGATATGATCCTTCATAATCTTTTCCCTCTCCATCCTCTTGCCAGTCCTTCCTAGAAAGCTTGCTCATTTTACAAGGCCTCTAAGTAGTAACATCCCACATACTTATGCCTTTTCTGCCTCGTGTTTAGGTCACAGAACCATTGTTTGAATACCTTCCACTGGGTCTCCAATGAATCATAGCTCCTCTGTCCCCACCCCTTGGACAGCAAGACCTTTTGGGCAGGAAATGTCTTTACTACCATCTTGAAAGGAATCACTGGAAAAGTTAGACTAAACCATCTGTCTCACCACTGTTTGCTTTTAAGTGTACAAATATAGACAGTAAATTGCAAGATTGGCTGAACTCAGTATGTCCTTCACAATGAATTCTATTATCTTAATTATTTTTTTACACCCTTCTACATTAGAACTAGAGGCTTGTTCAACTAAAACACTCTTGATGTTTCTATTGATGTCTTATTAATTGATATTCTATACCATATATCTCCTTATTGACTAAATGAATGAAAGTCTATCTTGTGCTTGATAATATTACTTCAATCTGCCTAGTAAATTACTAGGATTTAAAGGGTTATTTATTTACTTACTTAGTTCTTAAGTGAATGTATTAGCCAAAGCACTAAAGAATTAATCTCTCCAATTTACAGAAGGCAGCAGGTTTAGTTCAGGCATCCCCAGTTTACCCTAAACAATGTGACTCTATTCACATTTGGAAAAAATGTCACCAAGAAGATACATGAACATTTGGAACTATTACTATGCCCCTAACATACCACATGTCCCTGCTCAGAAATAATTCCCACTGTACATAGATAATCACAGTGCCATTTTCAATTAACTTGCTTCCAGCAATACTAACCACCATATGGGTCTCCATCATATGGTGTCCATCCACAAACATGGTGCAATTGTGGATGGTGCAATAACCCCAAGAGTACAGACAATCTTTCCACTACCCTCCCACAGACAGAGTTCCCATGTTGCCAATTATCATAATTTTTAGAGTTCTTTTTCCCAGAGCCAGCTACACAGTTTAAGAAAAGAATCTCAGCTTTCAGTTAAAATAGATCAATTTCTAATTCTTATGTCTACAGAGAAAAAACTTGGAAATGTGATGTAAGGGTACCTTCCGGGTTCAGAAGCTATAAAGCAAAGTAAAAGAACCCAATATATATACATAATTTTAAATATAATGAATTTTCAGTGCTAGAGTCATGATTTGTTAGCATTTTGAGTTGGAAATGAAGGAGGTCATTGCATAGATATTAAACTTGCTAGAAATCTCTAACTGTACAAATACAGCTGCACACCCACAACAGCTCATAATATTTTGATAGTATCAGTAGCTTCCACAGCAAGCTCCAATTAACTCCATTGGTAGCAAACATGGTTTCAGAGAAGGCGTGCAAGCACTGATGACTACCTGGGACCCTTTTGCCCAGCATGTCACATAGTAATCCTAGACTCCCCACCCCCATCAAGTGCCACTCCAATCCTCTTTCCATGCCTATTCTGCTGCTCAGCTTTCTGCTCCCTGCCCTGTGCTCCCTGTCTGATCTGCTGTTCTGATTTCTGCTCCCTGCCCTCTCCCCCAATATGACTGCCCCCTTACCAATCTGCTGTGTGCCCCACACAGAGGCTTTTTGTGCTTGTGGCCCACAAAACAGGTTAGCTACCCCTGACCAGGGAAATTAGCAAATAAAGTCACCACTAAACTCACTTGTTTGAAACTCTTTGGTCAATGACTGAGCAGCCAGAAGATCCTTAATACCACATGGAACTGTCTCATAATTCCTCTTTTAATGCACTAATAGAAATTTCTTTTGCTAAGAAGCTAAGTTTGCATCTTAACTTCCATTTTTGGAAACAGGACCAGAAAATAACACCAGTTCCCAGGGACTTTATTTATTTATTTATTTTAATTATACTATTTTAACACTTCGCCCCATAATTGCCTAGAGGCCTCCACCAAAAGCCTTTCAAAATCTCCTATTTTCAGTATTTCAAAGAGCAATGCCAGAATCTCCAGAAAGCAATGCCACTGCAATTATCTAATAAAGAGACAAATGATGTAGATACTGAGACATACTGCATAAATAGTTTGGCCATACTGTGCCATAAACAGTGATACTAGTCCTATCCCACTGATTCAGTTACCAATAGTTCACTTCTCTACCAGGGACTGGGGTGGCACAGGTGCTAAAGTACATAGTTGACAGCCTAGAGGTCACAAGTTTGAGGTCCCGTTAGATTCCAATAAATCTGCAAATTCTTCTAAATACCTTGTTACAGGAGCACAAAGAAGGAAAGGACTTCTTAAATGCAGCCATGGACCAACAGAGAGCGTGCACTCCTATATCCTTGATAATTCCATTTATTTCCATTCTGCTGAGACAGCCAACAAGGCAGACATTTGAATGGGAAGGTGGGTTTTCAGGGTAGTATGTTCATTTGCCCATTGGAAATTTAACTCAGACCTTCAGCCTATTTAAATAGGCCAGATGGTAAGGATTTGGAAGTTTTATTTCTACTAGTTTAATTCAGATCAATGCTGACTGGCAAGACATCATAGCACAGCCACTGGCAAGGATATTCGAGAACTTGTGGTGCCTGGGTGAAGTACCTGAAGATTGGAAGAGGACCAATTTTGTGCCCATCTTCAAGAAAGGGAGGAAAGAAGACCTGGGAAACTATAGGCCAATTAGTTTGATCTCAATCCCTGGGAAGGTTTTGGAAAAAATTATCAAAGAAACCATTCTTGACAGGCTAACAGAAGGCAACATTCTGAGGGATAGCCAACACAGGTTTGTTGTGGGTAGGTCTTGCCTGACCAACCTCATTTCCTTCTATGACCAGGTGATGTATCACTTGGACAAAAGGGAAGAGGTTGATATAATTTATTTGGACCTTAAAAAAGTCTTTGACCTGGTGTCCCATGATGTCTTCAAGGAAAAATTGGGAAACTGTGGCCTTGACTTCTCTATAGTCTGATGGCTGGGGAACTGACTCCAAGGTCAGATCCAGAGGCTGGCAGTTGACAGACCTGAATCAACATGGCACTTAGTGACTAATGGTGTCCCCCAAGGATCCATTCTCAGACCTGTACTCTTAATGTCTTCATAAACAATCTGGACACTGGTGTCAGAAGCAGACTGACCAAGTTTGCTGACAACACCAAACTTTGGAGAAGAGTGTCTACGCTTGAGGACAGGTTGGTAATCCAGGCTGACTTTGATAGGCTGCAAGGTGGGCAGATGAAAACTTGATGGCATTCAGTATGGAGAAATGCAAAGTGCTCCACCTCAGGAATAAAAATGTGCACCACACTTATAGGCTTGGCAGGGCTATGCTCATCATCACCATGACTGAAAGAGACTTGGGGGTCATGATTGTAAGAGTCCAGAGGAGAGCCATGCACATGATCAGAGGGCAAGAGAACAGGCCTTATGAAGAAAGGCTGTGATCTATGAGACTCTTCAGCCTGGAGAAGCATAGACTCAGGGATGACTTGGTGGCAGCCTATAAGTAGATAAGGGGTGTGCATCAGGATCGGGAGAATGCATGATCACCAGAGCACCCCAAGGGATGACAAGGTCCAGTGGTCACAAACTCCTACAAGACCATTTTAGGCTGGACATAAGGAAAAACTTCTTTACTGTCTGAGCCCCCATGGCCTGGAACAGACTCCCCAGAGGTGGTGCAAGCACCTAACTCTGGACCCTTTTAAGAAACATTTGGACACTTATCTTGCTGAGATCCTTTGACCCTAGCTGACTTCCTGCCCCTTGGGCAAGGGGCTAGACCTGTTGATATTATGAGGTCCCTTCCAGCCAAAATGTCTATGAAATGTATGAATGATAAAAGCCTCATAATTTCATTCCCAAACCTGAGCTATTCAGTCCCACAGTTGCTCTTCAGAGTTAAAAATCCCATCAGTGCCTGGTCACTGAGGACTGAGTGTAAGATAAATGCATCAATTCAGCAAATCTCTCTTAAGTTTTTAGAAGTCTCTCTTCACACATCAAAAATAATTACCTGATTATTCATTCCTGCACTGTAGCATAGACAGAGCTGACCTGAGCAGGATGTGGGGCCCGGGGCAAATAAGCCCATGCAGGGCCCCGCCCCCACTCCGATTCAGGCCCCAAACCCAAAGAAGCTGCCGCCACTGGCATCGTGGCCTTGAGCGGGCAGGGTAGCAAGCAGCTGGATGCAGAGCCGCCCCTCCACCTTGCTCTGCACTGCTGCTGCTCTACCCCACTCTGCAGGGCCCCCCAAAGCACAAAGCCTGGGGTGTTGCGCCAATTCGAGCCCCCCCACCCCCAGGAATGGCCCTGGGCATAGATGTAGGTGTATTAGAAAGAGCCAGTTCAGAACAGAGTTAATTAAGCACTATTGTAATTTAGAAAACTATATTCTCTCCCAGCATCTACATTAAGGGCTTGAATTAACACATAT